GTTGTCCCACTATGACAATGTGTTTACACATTTTAAAATGTACTCTCTGACCTACAGGCAGGAAAAAAAAGGTATCCCCCTCCTCCTGAAAAAGCATTACTGAAGACATTTTAACAGGAAAACACCCCATGATTCTGTTATCCCTTGTTTGTATCAAAGATGGGAACCTCTCATAGAGCCAGGAACTCAGACACAGAATGTAAATGCTGGAGAATTGATCAACATTTACAAAAACCCATTTGTTTGTAACTGCAGAAGGTAAATACCTTCTTCAAGAAAATGCCTTTGCCCACAGTTATGGGAGTTCTCATATTAATAAGCCAAAGAAAATCTGGCCCCTAACAGAAAACACTTGAGAGTCTGAAAAATATCAGTGTTACAGACAGTGACAAATATTGCTGGAACCTTATGTTTTATGAGAATGATTTGTTAATTGTCCAATACAGGCGTTGCTTGATGGAAAGAAAACATTTGTGATGCCTCTGTGGTCCTATTAAGACTAATTAATTCTTTTTCCAAGTGAAATCAAGACTAATTAGACTCTAATATTAATTTCCTATTTGTCCTGAGCTGCTAATTTTCATATCACCCTGTTGCAGCCTTTATTTGTATGTCTGTGCTTGGGGATGTCAGTGTTTGTGTGACAGGCTGGCAAGATGATATAAAACAACAACCATAAATGTAATTATTAAAGTTGCCAGAGGGGCTGGTATGAAAGGAGAATGATTCCAATCTCAGCAGTGGCAGTCAGGCCTTGCACTCCATGTGGAACTAGACATGAGCTGGCTCTCCAGAAACCTTCAAGACAGAGCTTCACCCTGGGAACAGAAGTTTAGATGATGAACCCTTGTGTGCCACTGAGGTGCTGCTCGAGTGATTTTCAGTGTATTTAATTACATTATGGACTTCTCTGTTGAAATAAGGTACTGATGAGTTCATGCTGGTCCCACTGTTCCTGGCAGACTGAAGGAATGCTGCTTATCCCTGTTTCTCTCATACGCAGTTTCTCCTCCTTCTCTGCTTCCTTCCCTGGACGATGCAAAGCTGGTTCTCTCTGGGAAGCTGCTGAGTTCCCTGCACCCTCCCCAGCCATCACCTTATGTCTTTGTCACTCTTCAGAGTCAGTGGCACCATGTTCTCCTTCTGTGGCTCACATTATACTCTCTTCTCTCAGGATTTCATGTGTTTCACCCTGAGAAATTGCTTCTCAGCAAACACCTATTTACACCTGTAAAGTGGATTCTCCAGATTATGTTTTGCACTTGTTCTTGTGGTACTGCTTATACCCCTTGTCCCAACATCCTGCACTGCATCTCACACTATTAAACATTAATTTTTTAATTATTAATATTCCTTGGCCAGTCACTCAGGACACAAAACTTCCTCCTTATCATCCTCTAAGGTTCAGTCCACTTTTTCCTGCATAACCTGGGCAACTGCTTTCACTCCTGTGGATTCCTTCTACTGCCCTCACTGACAGCATGCTAGTCCAGCTTTCTACTTCTAAAGTATCTCCAGCCTTCCTAGTCCTGTGTTTTAGCCATTCCCTCTTTCTGAATGTTTCACAATGATTTTCAAAGCTGTGTGTCCAGAGCTGTAAGTCTGACCATCTCTTCTGTGACTGGCACTGCTGTCACTCTTTCTTCCTCCCACAATCCTGTTTTGTCAATGGCAAAACTGTCTCCTCTGATGTGGGGAACCATCTTCATTTCACCTTGGCACAAGTATTTTGTCCATGTCCAAAATTAATATTATTCTTTCTAATCTTATTTTTTTCTCTACTATGTTGCCTCATCTCATGTAACCATACCCTCTATTTAATTTTAGTCACATCTCTTTGATGTCCACACCACCTGTTGCAGTGCATGGAGAAGTTCACAGACGAGAGTCTCCGTATTTTTGTTCTAACTAATCCTCATTTGTTTTTATTCTTGTCACCCAGTGCAAGTGTTACCATCTTTAACACATATTTAATTTGGGGTTTTTTCATAATTATCTATTGTCTTCTTCAGTGCTATTTTGGATCTGTATAATGCTTCTCTAAATCTTTGACAGTGAAGTCTGTAAGCACTTTTTGTCATCTACATGTCTAAATACTGCTGCCACACCTTTAATTAATGGTCTGAATAACAGCAGAACAGTTGGATGCAAACAGTAAGAAAGTAGTTAAAATTCCCTTTAAAAAACTAACACCTCAACAAAGAATTCTCTGTGAGAAAAGTAATGCCAGTGCTTTACTGATGTCCAGAGAACAGGAACAATTTGAAACCTCTAATACTGCACTGGAAAATAGTTTGGAGTTTTTTTCCAGGTTTTCTTTTTATCTTCCAACTTTAATAACCTTATTATAACAAACTTTATCTTTCAACTTTGTTATCTCAAAACTGTTTCCCATATAAATAAAGCTATATGATAATTAGTTTTGCCCAGAAAACAAAATGCCATTAGAACTTTCGTCTCTGCAGGAGTCCAGGTGTCTGCGAGGGCAGTGCTGGATGGGCACGGGGGACCCCTGGACCTGAGGTTAAAATCCTGCCTTGTCTTTCTAGCTCTTGCAAAAGGAAGCAGGGCTCAGTGTCGTGACTTTTCAGTTTTTTCTGCATGCTCTCTCCCTCTGAGGATTCCTGGTTTGTTCCTTTTGTGCTGCGGTTCTCCCTTCCCCTTTATAAAAAAGCCAAAGCTATTTGTCTGCCCTGTGGGGGAATGTGAGCAGTGCCCGGAGGGTCCTCTATCACTGCCCTGCCCTACATTGTTCGAGAGCAGTAATTCACGGCTGGTGTCAGTGTCCCCCTGCCCTGCTCGGCACTGCAGTGACCCCGGGCTCACCCTGCGCTGGCTGCTACTGCATTTAGTGGGTGGGGACCCGCTTGTGTTAGCTGGAGACGCTGTCTTTGACCGTCTTTACAAACCGCTGTCCTCAATTAATTTACAGATGCAAAGCAGGTTTTCCTTGGTGAAACGTTGTACAAGTACCACTTCATCCTGAGTGACCCTCTCTGAGGATGACACAGCCAATAATCAGATGTTGAGTTGCTGTTTTCTGTGGTTTCCCCTGCAGTTTTTACGTCGTGTTTTTCGTTGCCGTTACTTAAGTTTTGCTGCCTTATTTGGTCCCACAAAGCTGTACTTTACATATCCTCACCTTCTCAGGAGATAAAGTAATTCTGGTGCTTTTAATTAAACACTAGCACTTCTGCCAATTCTTCATGATTTAATATATCCAATACCATTAACATGTGATTAACCTAGGTCAACATATCCTTGAAAGAGAAAATCTGAGTCTTAAATGCAAGAATTGTCACTTTCAAATCGTATCTGACTGTTATAACAGACTAATGAGCACAAAACGGTGCATACAATAATAACTGAATACCTCACCCTTCCTGTCTCACCATATTTCCAAAACATTTAAAAGAGGCACAGAGATCTGTTCACTTTTCTGCTCTAGATCCCACAGGATTAATGGTAAAGAATGTGGCTGTCAGAATAAGGACCAACATTTGGGTTTAAGATTGAGCCCCGCCAAAATGACACTGTAAAAGACAGTCACCAGGTGAAATTTTGTGAGATTAATAGGGAGATTGTAGACTCTTTTGCAGTGAGTTCTCACATGAGCAGGTTGTGATTTTATCTGTAGAGTAACTCACCTCTTTTGGATCTTACCACTCCGAAAAGAAATCAGGGCATTTGAACATGAACGTTCTTCTACTCAGAACACAGAAAAAGGATCAAATTCAAAACAAATTTCAGTCCAGGATGAATTAAGAGGAAGGTCACAATGTACAAAAACTGCATATTAAAAATTATGTGTTTAAAATGTTACAAGTGAGCTGTCTAAATCTTGAAACTAAATTTCCCAAAAAAAGGGAATTGTAAATTATCTCCAGGGTGAAGGGTGCTGAGGCCTGGGTGACACAGCCAGAGCTGCCCTTGGGGAGAGGAGGCACAGTGGGGAGTTGGGTAGTGGGAACAAACTGCCCCCATAGTGTTAAGGGAGAGTGCCACAGAAATAACTTCCTGCAGGGATCACATTTTACCTGCAAAGGATCTTTTAACAGAAAGATCTTCTTGAATAATTCTTACGTATTTGATGAAACAAAAAAACATCAGCAGTAACCTAAGTAGGTACCTGCTGTAACATGTTTGCCTTGGATGTCAGATACACTCGTGCCTGAATAATTCTAATTTTGTTGAAGTAAAACTGAACCATGGATGATTCATTCCATATCCCATTTCTATTGTAAGGCCTGTACAGGACAGAGTTACTGTAGCTTCTCTATACCACTATGGAGTAACATTTTTTTCAACTGGTATTGTACAAATATCTTCTCTAGAAATAATGGTTTTCCATATTAAAGTATTTAAATACAGTCAGCCATTGCCTTTTCTTCTAAAATGCACTCAATAAAGGTAGATCTTATACAGGATTAAAAATCTGATATGCCAGTTCTTAGCAGCATTTTATACAATGATCCCAAAGGCTGTTTAACACAGAAATCTGTCTTTATTACACTCAGAGGCACGTTTGGCTTTGCATGTGCAAGTGACGTTCCACTAAAGCCAAGTATTTTGCCGCACAGCATCGTGTGAATTAATCTGAGATGGAAAGCTGGCAACTTCCATTCTCCTTCACTGTTTACAGAAAGTGTACTCATGTTGTACTCCTTGCTTCTGAAAGCAGAGGAGTCAGTAATTTGTGCCAGGATCAACAGCTCAATTAAAAGGAATTTAAGGATGGGAGAGACAAGAGACACAACAGGAGAACAGCAGTGTGGTGCCACTGCCTGCTGTGGATTGGAAAGGGGAACACAGACGAGGAAGGGACTCACCTGGCTGGGTGTTTGCACCTGCAGAGCCAGGGAGCTCCTGCATGCACTGAGGAGCTGGAACCTCCGGTGCCCACAGGAGTATAATGTCCCCAGAGACAACATAATTTTATATTAGATGGCTGTAACACTGAAATACACTTTAGCACTGCGTTAACAATCTTATCTCCCCCTCTACATGGGATGAATTTTGTTTTCTGAGGATGCCAAATGAGCAAAGGCTTGGCAATTTCCACGTTCATCTCCAGTTTTCCTTTCAGAAGAGGTGCTATGAACTGCCACGGTGGACATCTGGCTGCCTCCCCTGTCCGGGGTTAGCGCTGCTCTCTCTGAACTTGGGTTCGTGTTGGACTCTGCAACTCCCGTGGCATTGCAACTGAACATTTGAATCAGACACTTCCTGAACTAGAAAAGTGAATAAAACAGGAGGTCAATCAAAACACATGAGAAATTTTAAAACAGTTCTATAAATCAGTCTGTGTGTTAGTTAAAACTCTTAGAAATTCTCTCATGAATCAGTTGGGAATATAAGGAAATAACCCTATAAAATGTATTTGCCCATGCCACCATGGAGAACTCTAAATCTAATGATGTTCTAAAAAGACCCGAACTATTTTCCTCTTCTGCTTGTAATTAACCACATCTAAGGGACAAAATTGGTCATTTCTTCCAGACTCATGAGTTGCTTTCATACACTATTCATACACTGATCCTCTGCCCTCATTCCAGAGAAGAAAACTCCCTGTCCATGGGCACCTGCAGTGCTTCTACCCCACTGCGCATACAACTGCAAATGCAGCATTTCCCCGACACAAATTCAAGCTTTCAAAACTTCCACCCCACCTCAAAATCACTGCATTCCTGAAGAATTATGGCAATACACTGGGACAGTTTTTAGAACAGGATTTTCATACAGAAAACCAACTGGCGTTCACTAAGGGCTGATTTTCCTTTATAATATCTAAACCTAATAATTATTAACACATACTTTAATAATGCACAGAGGCTTATGCTATCTTACAGCAGGTAGATTATTTTTTTTTTTGTTCTAAATGCTGGATATTGTAATGCTTGTTAACTAACACAGAGGCAGGTAGAAATAATTCACTATAAAGATAAAATAGCAAAATATGAGCGTTAAAGACATTTTGAGAGCATACATTACCTGTTTGTTCATAAAGACATAAATAATTGGATTATAAACAGTAGCTGTTTTGGAAAAGAAGGCTGGGATTGCTGCCAGACAAGGATCCAGCTCAATGGAGGGGTCTGCAGTGACGAGGATGGAGAAGGCGGCATATGGCATCCAGCAGATCAGAAAAGCAACAATCATGACAACCACCATTCTGGTCACTTGTCTTTCCGGTCTCCTGGTAGTTCTGAGCCTGCCCTGTGTTTCTGACACCTTTAAAGAAGAGATAAAAGATTCTAAAAAACAAAGAACAAGGCCTCCAACAGCGACTTTAGTGAGCAAGGCAGGGGACCTGCCATGCTGGGACAAGAGACCTGCACTTCCCAAACGTGGCAGCACAAGAGGAGGCTGTTTCTGACCACAGGGTGTCACAGTTCCTGCTCAGGGACAGGATTTACCCTATACTGGCAGTAGTAAACTCTTCTATAGTTTTATTTTTACTGCCAAAGTGAAAAAGAAGGACACCGTGGTGACTCATGAGCAGACAGTGAGCTGGATTCCAGAACTTTCTAGTCCATGGAGCCTTTAGAGACAAGTAGGTGACTGATATGGGTTGGTACAGACAGCACTGCTCAGGCTGGGCAATCCACTCGCCCTGGGGGACAGTCACACCAGTTCACTCGTGCTTTATGGCCTTCACCAGAAGAGCCTCTATGATCCGATGACACCAGAATTAAAAAAGGGGAATCGGGGTATTTAGTAGGAATGCTCTCCCTCTTCCCCTCACTGATCATGCCTGGGCAGGGATGTTGATACAGTGATTATGTGATGTCAAACAATGTCTTCCTGGGAAACATCCTTCTTTTGTTTCTGATGACTTAGTGAAACAAGGCACTGTAATGTAATGTTAGTTTACATGGGAAGTAATTAATGATAACTCTGTATGGCTCTAGAAGAAACTGATGCCAGGTCTTAAAATAATGCATGCTAATAAAGTAAGATTTTTTGGCATAATATGGCCTTTTAACTTCCTGCAGTAATGTTAGATCTCTATGGAGACATTTCCCCTTATAACCCTTAAGCTGCACTCGGAGAATTCATCATATTTAGTACTTAAATACTTAAAGCACCTCCTGGGGAGGGGGGTGTCCTCATCCCTGTAGAAAGTTGCAATTCATGTTGGCTTTTTATGTTGTTGTTATATAACATTTATATAAAACATATATAACACATGTACTATGCTGTTATATAATAAAATAATAGTAACAATAATGAACTGTTATAATTGCTACAAGTTCTAAGCCATCAGTAAAGGTTGTGTTAGGTATGGAGCAAGGCTAAGAGATTCACTGTCAATATATGACATTTCTACAGCATTTTTTCACATGTGCTGTACCTACACAGAGAGCAGCCCAGCCTCTCTTTCAGCAGAAGTTCAATCACCCTGGGGAAGGAACACAATCTCCCTGATTGCACTTTCAACTGTTTCATCTTTGTCTCATGTCAGCCTGGCCTTTTTCTCAGCTATGGCTTCTCCTTTCTGTCTAAAAACTGGTAAGGAACCACACACTGCTGCTTTACCTTCCAAACAAAGGAAATGCTGCCAAAATAATTTACCTCTGTGCTAAACTGTTAATTTGATCATTTCCTGAAAATGAATTTCTTCCATCAACTTTGCAGTTGCAGTGAAAGCTACTACTGGCTCTGTAAAGCTGGGGCCACAGGGACTAAGGGACTGGCAGACTTTACTAAGACAGAACTGTGTTACTCGGGACCGAGCCTGCATTGTGGCAACCATGGGACATGGCAGCCAAAATCTGGGAAGAAGGATGGTTGGGAAGACCAAGACACCAGTTCAGGTGCCTGGGCCTCTCTCTGTTCACTGCAGTCAGATTTTTGAAAACGAGTTTAGCTGTGAGATACGGCCATATGGTAATTCATTACAGATTTACAGATTGTGTTGCAGGTATTGGTTTTTCAGAGCCAAAGGCCAGGACTGACATAAACCAGATAGTTATGACTACATCACCTGTAATGTGGCCCCCTGAGGGTACCCCTGTTCCCTGGCTGGGCCATCCACCAGGTCCCTGAGCTGCGAGGGAAGTGTGAAACACACAACTCACCCAGAAGTGTGATTTTTTTAAATAACACTGCTATTTTTTCTGGATAACAGAGGGAGGAGTGAGAAAGACAGCCTAGTGAGATCACACCAGAGTGGCTCCAGGCCATGCTGGCACACACTACGTGGCGCTGATCAGCCTTCCTGAAGACATCCTGACTTGACTCAAATGGCAGAATGGGTCATTCATGACGTCTGCTGTGACTGACGGTGACATTTTCCAACAGTGCCTCCCTTGCTCCCCATCTCACCTTCTTTTTTTTTTTTTTCACTTGCAGACTTTTAAGAGGAAGGAAATGGTCCTTTCTGTGCACCTCTTGAGCACCTGAGTAACAGATCAGCCACTGCTCTGGCAGTCCCATGGAGGGGCTGGATTCAAGTGGTCTCACTGTCCTTTACACCCCCTCTGTTGGGGTAATGTCCCAGGCCATCCCACACCATCCTGGTGTGGGTTCCCCTACCAGGAAGAACCTCCTGGAGGTGTCCCTGTCCCCTTGGGTCCCTGGCAGGAGTAGGAGACTGAGGTGGCTGCTCTGGGCTGTCCCTCACCCCGACACTGAGCTGGCCCCCAGCGCTCCCCCTTCATCCCATTTCCTCTGCAGGTAGGGCAGGACAGATGAAATAAAATACTGATAGAAATTCTGGATATTCAGAATAACAGAACCATAGTTTTACAGATTCTCTTAGGAGAGTCTGAGTCCTCAGCAATGATTTTCTTCAGGCACCCCTCTATCCTGCTCTCCAGGGCCCCTCTCCCTGGCAGGCACTGGCTGCCCCTCCCACCATCCACATCCCACCTCTTGTGTGTTAATTCTGAAATCTGCCTCTCCCAGCCATTCAACCTTCTCTCCCCTGAAAGAATCCATGAGGAAATCAAGAAAAGTCCTTTCAGAAGAATCACAATGTCACCCAAAGTTCCCTTTGGTTTCATTTTACTTTTAGAAAGAACAACAGTCTAAATACAATAAATTTGACTATCCCAAATACTTTCAAAACATCAGTTAATCGAAAGAAAATCACTGAATTTATTACTGAAGCAATAAGGCAAGGCAGCTTTGTAGTAAATAGAAATATTAATATTGTCCAAAACTATTGTCCCAAAATCCATTTCCAGATACGAATTTTCCTATTTTCTATTGTCTTCTTTTTCACTTTTTGCAGCTTCTTCTTTGTATCAGGTGAATGTAACCATTAAATAAAATTCAAAAGCATTTCTCAAGCCTTTAAAATATTCCTGGACAATCTAATATTTTACTTACTAAACAGCACTGCCTAATTTACAAATCCTACATCTCCCTCTGCATATAATTGTTACAAACCAGTAGCCAGGAGTCTTAAAATTTACTCAAAACGTCATTTTAAGCTACATTCTGATTTGCCTGGTTTGAGTCTTAGGAAATGTCACTGAATTGAAGTACAATTGCAAATAAACCAATACTTGGTCATTCTGTTTCTTTATTTATGAGGCAGACATCCTTTCACTTGTATGATGTTTGACAAATAGGATGTACTGATAAGTGATGCAAACGGCACACTTTGAAAAACCACTTCTAACCATGGCACACATTTCTGTGTGTAGGGATAATTATATAACGAGGGATGTAACTGAGTGTGTTTGCTGCCTGCAACTCTGATCTGCTTAGGTCTGATCTCTATAGAAAGTCAAACTTAAAAATCCCCAACACAAACATTTTATAATATATTTACTTATAGTGATTATTCTTACCTTTTTTAGCTTCTGCACCAGTTTTCCATAGGATACCAAAATCACCACTAAAGGCACTATAAAACAGGTGGTGAAGAACACAATAATGTACGTATGGTCAGCATAAGCTCCTGAGTACCTGTATAAAATACAAAACACATTGTGCATGTGTTACTAACACTTGGTGTTATTATTTTCTTGAAGTAATAATTTTGCCCTTCAAAGCTGTCACTAATATTTTGGTCAACTGCTTTTATTCCAAGTGCCCCTTTACAAAGTTGCATCACCAGGTGGGAGTCCTGCACCATCTCCCTGCCCCGAGCTAGGACAGGGTCTTATGGCCACAGGTCACTCCCACAGAACTGTGGGGCTCATCAGGTGGGAAGGGACATGTAGTCCAACCTCCTGCTCCAAGTGGAGCCAGCTGTGGGGTCAGACCAGGTTGCTCAGGGCTTTGTCCAGTCTTCTGAAAAAAATCTGTCTCTTTGTCCTCTTTGATTCCTGAGGAAAAGCTCAAGGTATAGGGTGGTTCATTCCATTAGAGATGTGAGAGTGGCCTTACCAGTTAAGCTCACAGGTAGTTCCAATCTTACTGGTGGTGTAACTGCTCCAGCCCATGGTTGGTGGAACGGTCCAGACGAAGGAAAAGGCCCACACACAGACGATGCCCAGGGCTGCGTGTCTGCCCTGCAGGCGCAGGTTCCCCGAGGGCCGGCAGATCACAACGTACCGCTCGAAGGCCAGCAGAGCAAGAGACCAGAGAGCAACGATGCCTGCGACAAGAAAACGGCGTCACAAGTTGAGCAGATTCACCGAAATGCCAGCGCCATCCCAAATCACAGAATCACAGAACTGTTTGGGTTGAAAGGCATCTCCGGGGGTCACCATCCCCCCTCCCCACTCCAGCATGGTCCACATACCGGGTGGTCCAGGACCAAGTCCAGCTGGGCTCTGAATGTCTCCAGAGATGGAGATTCCACAACCACTCTGGGCAGCCAGTTTCAGTGTCTGACCCCCTCCCCCCCCCCATTAGACACCTTTTCTATTGACCCGAGTTATGAAAGGATGTGCAATTTATGTGCTTTATTCTAATATTAATTAAGAGCATAAGAATTTCATATTTGTCAGTCCACAGTATAACGGCTACAAAACCAAGCAGCTAATTGGGCCAGTTAAGTGACTATGACTTTCATTTTTCATTTGGTTCTACTCTGAAAAGTTGCAAATTATGTGTACCATCCAAATTAACCAATTAAGAGATATCTTCAAAAGGTTATCTTTGTAAAAAATGTCATACTTCAGACTGCCATAAAACTCAAACCTACAGAGAGCTGCCCACAACATCAAATTATCAGTTTTTTAGGCACATATCACCTGGTTGGCCACCAAAACCTTGAACCAGCCTCATCTTTCTCCGTGGGACATGGCTTACGTGCCACAAACTGATTTGGTGACACTGTCCCTCACTGACATTCCCTCTGTGTAGCTCAAACAGGTGGAGATCAGCTGTGGGGCTCCTTTTCAGGCTGAGGATCAGCACTGTGTGGGGTTTAGGGCAGTGAGGAGCATTACTGGCTGTCTTTATGCAGCTTCAGAAACGAGTGTCTGTCTCAAGTAAGTAGATGCCCCATTTTAAACTGATTTCCCATTTATTCTGCAGAGCTGTATTTACACAGGGAACTACATGGTGATGATTTTTCCTTTTAGAGTACTTCTAATACTTTTTTGTAGTTAGTGAACAAAGGAATGGAAAAAAAAAATCACAAAAAGCCGTAGGTGTGTGCAGTGGCTGTTACAGGTGTGTGTCTCTGCTCCTCAAAACCGCTGCAGGGTAGGGAACATGAGAGTTTTCTGTGCCCTGAGATTTTCCACAGTTTATGGGCAGCCACTCACTCTTTTGCTCTCTCTCTCTTATTCACCCATATATGCACAGACTTAAATACAAATATTGAAAATAGTTTTGGATGGGGATTTATCCCCCTGAAATTGTTTTACCACAAACCCCACAACACTGTTATTCTACTGGCAAGCTTTTCTGCATTATATGAAACACATTCAATGACCAGTAAACATGGGACAGGCCATGTCTGTGACCAGAGAGAGAGAAAGAGAGACATTTTTCACTTGCAATTGTGTTCCAGTACAGAATATCTGGGAAAAGCACCAGTGAATTCAAAGGCATGCAAAGGCAGTGACTTGGGGAGCTGCAGTAAAATACACTGAAGGAAGTTGGAGGAAAATAACACACAACTACAAACACAATCAAGCTTACCAAAAAATGTGACAGCAAATCCTTCCAGTACACAAGCCCAGTATCCCATATAAAAATAACCTCTCAGATTTGTTAGAAAGCTGATGGTGCCACCAGTCAGCGAGACCAGGAAATCAGCCACAGACAAATTGACTATAACATAATTGACAGGTTGTCTCAATTGCTTGAACTTAAAAGTTACCAGGATTACAGCCAGGTTCTCAGCAAGCGACAGGGAGGTCACCACCAACATTACTGCTGCCAGGAGCCTGAAGTGCCAGGGCTGGATGGAGTCCAAGGGACGTCGGAAGGGATCCCAGCTGGCAGGACCAGAGGAACTGGGCAAGAGCGACTCATTCTCAAATGCTCTGAATGCATCCATTTTTTTCTCCCAGTAGCAAAAATAATACTGTATTATATGTAAATAATATCCAGGAACAAAAGGGAGAAGTTTGCTGCGTCCAACAGAAGTGTGAGCGAACTCTCCCTGCTTCTGCTTTCCAGCAACGCTTCAAGAAAAAAAAAGTTTTGCTTGGAAGAAAGTTTAGCGCTGCAGAGTGAATGTGGGAACTGGGATTAGCAAGAATATTTGTTAGAGCAACCTCTGCCCCTCTTTGCCCATCGTCTCCTTCCTCCTCCCACTGCGGCTTTGCCTTTCTCTGTGGTAGAACCCAGCTGTGGAAGGACCTTCAGCACCGTAAAAATGCAGCTTTTTCTTTTTCTTTTTTTTTTTTTGTCAGTACGAGGGTGGAGCGATCCCCCCCACCCAGCGACGGTGGGAGGCGAGGGGGAGGTTTTCCTGAGAGAGGGCAGCCCTGGAGAGATGAACGCTGCAAACCACAACAGTAAAAACCCTGCCTGCAGCTCAGGCTGGCTTAGAGCTCCCAATTAATTGAGTTTTCTCTGTTATTCTGTGGAATAATTTCTATCAAGACATTACTGACGCCTTCCCTGATGAAGGCATAAGGATTATAATTGTAGTTTTAGTACTAAAATCTCAAAGAAGCACAGCAACACTTTAAAGATAGAGCTGGTAACTATGTTAAAAGAAATACAGCTTGGCAACTGACACCAGGAAAATTAAGTCATATATTTCTGATAAAAATGACTGGATATATCTGAACTCTTAACAATCACCAGCAGTCAGGGTTACTTGAGTCCATTTCCCAAGGTAGGTAGCACAGTCTCTGCACTCTCATGAGGTGTAACACTGTGACAGATATTCCAGTACTCCTGTACAGGGCTGCCAGTAATTATTCCACAAATTAAGAAGGATACCTCAAAAACATATCAATCATTCAGCTGTGTTGTAACTGAGATAATTGTTGGGGACAGTAATTGTTAATCAGATCCTCAGAGTTTTAACCGGAATTGAAAATATAAAAGCAATCCAGTTCCTGTCTTGGAGAGTTCACACTTTGGACACACACCACGTACAATCCATGAATAAATGAACAGTGAGACCAACAATGAGTAACATCTACCTGTCCACACAGTCCCCTGACTTCAGATTTGCTTTGGTTTGTACAGAAAACACTTTGTTAACACAGGTTAAAATCTTTCAGCATGCAAGAAAGGAATCATAAGGCTTTCTGGACACTGGCAGAAAGAGTTATGCATCTGAAAATTCTAAAGTAAAAAACCCAAAACCCTCCTACTTACCATAAGCAAAATAGCAAAGATATTTTTTAATAGTTGGTAACTGAAAAGGAAAGAGATGGGGCTTAAGCAGATCAAATCTAGCAACAAAATTACTCACAAAATTATACTTATTCAGCAGGAATATTAAAAAATTCAAGTGTCATAAATAAAAGAATGATCAACACACAGCAACAATAAAATGCCTCCAGACAGTCCTTGCATGACTAGATTCAGTTTTGTTCCACTCCCTGCATGCTACAGTGGAAAATCCAAACCACCACTTTAAAATCAACTTTGAATCTTACCTTGTTAGAAATGATACATTATTTTAAATTCTTGTGGGTGTCAAGAATGAAATCAGGACTCTGAATTTAGCATACAACAGGGAAGGTAGTATCTGGACTTCTTTAAGGCATAAATCTATTGACTGCACATTGAAACTCCTTTAGACAATGAATAACTATTGTTATCAGCTAGTTTCTTGTTGTTTTAAGCTCTCATATTGTTCAGATTGTTTGTATCAGTTATGATTCTGGTTACAGTTTAAATGCATTCTCTTCTATTTATCTTGTGCTTCCTCTTGGTTTAGAATCCTTTAAAAATACTGCTATAATGTCCTGATAGTCAATTTTGCTTGTTTTTCTTCTTCAGCAGGTCAGCTTTGCCACTGACAGCTCTTCTCAGGCCGTGGTTAAACTGCTGCTGGATGGTCAGGGAGGTTAAGGGGGTGTGGAACTCACAGCATTTGTACGATATGCCCACAGTAATTCCAACTGTGTGACAAAATCGGGGTGACAAGAGCTGAGATCAAATCTGGTGGCTGAAATTCTATGTGGCAGATGGTAAACTAGCCCTGAGTTTACCTTTTCCACCAGACACAAGCAGGGAAACGAGCTACAAAGTCAGTGTGGTAGTTCAAGTGGGGCACTTGAACTGGTTCTCTCAGCTTTGGTCCCAAGATGCTGCCATCTAATGACAGCCCTGTCCTTCACTCCTCAAAGGGATCGTGAAAGATTTGCTTTTGCCCCAGTAAGATTTTGGTTTAGTTACACTCAATCAGAGCAAACAGCATTTTCTGCTGTACAGATGTTTTGTGGGAATCTCAAGTGAAGGATCTCACTTTTGATGTAACCAAAGTGGCTGCTGTGTTGTACAGGAATGCTTTTTTTTTTTTTTTTTTTAAATATAAGATACTGAAAAACCCAGCAACAAATGAGACTATGAATTAGTATGGAATTAAGTGTATTTATACTTATTTTTCAGTATCTTATATTTGATAATGACATTCCAATTGCGTATCTCCAAAAGGGATGTAAGAACCTATTTTACCACAGGAGTTTTAAAAACATACAGTAAGGCCACATTTTGTTCTGCTTTCGTAAGGGAGAAGCTGAAGAGAATGAACAAGCATTTGGTTTAAATTAGAAAATAAGCAGAAATTATGGTGGTTTATGCCTAGAGACTAGTACAGATTACATTACAAATCCAGAAACTATAACTCTCAGATCACATAAGCAAATCAGCTTCTGCTGAGTCCATTTAATCACTGAGACACCAGAAGGCTGAGGCTGGCAGGGACCTCAGGAGAACTCCAGTCCAGGCCCTAGCACAGTGCAGGGGCAGCCACAGCAGGTTCTCTGGGATCGTTTCCAGTCAGGTTTTCAATGGATGGTACCTTCACCACCTCCCAGGACAACCCATTTGTGTGCTGGACATCCCTTACCATAAAGATTATTCTTATTTTAACGGTTTTTAAGTTATGAGAGTCATAAACCTAGTTAATTGGGGGCTACATTTAACCTTTTTATGCCTGGGAAGGTTCAAGTAAAGCACCTGCAGGACCTACTGACTTTGCTTGACAATCCTCTTACAGGACTACTGGGATTAATCTCATTTACTCACTCTCCATAAAGGCCCATACTCTTTTAGAACCTGTTGAAACTTCAGTGTAGGAAATGGGTTTTCTATTCAATGAAACTTTGTCTAAAGAAGAGCCTGAACATCCAAGATCCAATGCAAAAAAATAATCAGTACAGTCAGCTTTACTAGTTGCTGCGGGTGTATCACCAAAGCATTTTTTTTCTAGGGATTGAGTTTGTGAGTGTGCCTGTACAAAAAGGACTCAGATGCTGGCATCTGGTTTTCAAACCTGATTTCATACATTTCTTTTTTTTGTTTGTTTGTTTTTCAGCTGCAGCTTTATTTTCTCACAGCTACTGAAAACCAGCAATTGAACATTTGAAATCTGTTCTCAGGAAACACTGAACGATCACAATGGAAAAATTTTGTCCTGCCCTTTCAAGTGAGTTGGAGGAGTTATTTTGCCCTCTTGCTCATTAAAAGAACGGGAGTGGAGATTTCCTTTTGCCCAAAGGTAAAAGCTGTGTACAAAAGAGGCGTTCTACACTTGGAAAGATCCCAGCACAGCTGCAGGAATTTCAGTAACCAGCAACATATAACAAAGCTGGTATCTCAACAAAACACGTTCTATTAACAGTGAATAAGAAACTAATGCCAATTAAAGCAAAAAACACCAAAAGCATACTGAGCACCAGAGAGGGAAACAATTTGATAGCAGACTGTATTTACTCAGGGCATGTTAACAATGTCTTGCAGTTTGGGGCCTCATCTGAGCAGGTAAGACTCTGTTTACTTTATGATAACACATTTCTTTCCAAAGCCCAGTTAAACACAGTTCCTTGAGGACTGCACAAAAGCAGTTCAGTAAAAGGCAATGCTTTCATACTGTTACTGATTCTGGCTGAAATTATTTTGCTCTTACTATGAATGATTTTCCATGGGGTTTTGAGTTTTTCACCCACTTGCTTTCACATGATATTAATATGTTAACACAGCAGTAAAAGAAATTGTTTTAGCAGCAGGTATTGAAGTGACAGTGTCACTTTAATGAGCAAAAAAACCTCTTCAGTAGTTTGTTTTCCCTCAGAATTTGTATATTTCCCAAAAGCTCAGTGGGAATTGTTATCCAATATATTTAATTGATGGTACAAATTGAAAAAAAATCCAAAAACCAGTTCACATGATATTTCTTATTTAAGAGGATTTTTCTATTATGAAACCCTCAATCAGAGAAAAGAAGACTTAATCATGCAAGAAATCCTACTATCTTGAAGAGGATCATGGACATGAGAATCTTCGGTCTTAAAAAACATTATTTTAAAAAGTTTATTATTAGACATATCAAAGACATTTTCTTTGTACTGCAGGCCCTGAAGACAATATATGGTATTTGCCCTAAACTTGTCTCACTAAGGTGAGCTCCAAAAACGAATCTGTCCCCATCCTTAGTCCAGCAGGGATCAGCCCTTTTTGGGCCCTTGGGAGAACTCGAGCTGGCTCTGCCCTGAACAATTAACCTGCAGCAGCAAAGGGAACACAAAGACAGCAGAGCAAAAATTAACAGATAAACCCCTCTGTGCATTGGGAATCCATCCTGTTACCAACAACCACACAACAGAATTCTTTATTCAAATAATACAAAACTGTGTGAGATAACCCTGAAGCATCACCAACCTTGGGTCCCACAGCCCAAAAACCTTATCCCCTTACCTGTTTGAAGGTAAAACGTGCCCCAGTGCCAGGAGAACGTGCAAGAAAACGGTCAAGGTGTGCACTGAACTAAGCACTACTGATTTATAACATTCTTACCCAGAGGAAAATCATGGAAACAAAAACAAGCTACATTTTGCAATTAGGCACCATAATTCAGGAAAATATATG